CTGAGCCTAGAAGTCAGGTAGTGTTTCCCCAGGCTGTGGGGCTCCATCACCTGGGGACTTGAGTGGGTAGAGAAAGCTCTCTGCAAACAGGATCCTGGCTACTATGGAGATCCCACTTTGGGACTGCTGCAGTGAGAGGGGAGCTCTTTTGACCTGAGTGAAAACATCCACAGGCTTAACAAGTGGCTCAGAAAGTCCTGGGAGACTACAATGGGAGTTGTGTGTGTGTGTGTGTGTGTGTGTGTGTTAGAGATAGAAACAGAGACAGAGAGACAGAGAGAAACAGAGAGACAGAGAGAGCTCAGCCATACTCTGGACTCTGGCACTGCAGTGGAGCTGCTGAGGTGGGAGTGTGCTTTCTTCAGCCTGTCTTCCCAGTCCCAGTAGAAGCAGTAACAGTGATGGGCCCGTCTGGGGAAGTTGCAGCCTTCAGGCCTGACATACTTTCTGAGGCCTGGGTGATGGCTTTGAGCGATGAGGATCTAGCTGAGACTGAGGATGAGGGTGGGCGGCAGCAAGAGTCTAGGGCTGGAGTCTGTCATCAAGAGGGGTGTGAAAGAGTGACCTTCCTTCGAGAACCTTCAGAGATGACCCAGAACAAGACCATGTGTCTTGTGATTTTATCTCTGAGGACCAATGCTACACACTGGGTGCTAGGAGGCAGTGATGGAGGGCTTTTCTATCAGTCATCCTGATGGACTTCTTCTCCATCTGGACTCCTAACTCCAAGAGTTAGCACCATAATTAGAATGTCCCTGACTCACTGGGCAGCCTCTCACACATTCTTGAAGCATTGCTGTGTGGGCTCTGCCTCTACAGAGTCCAGGTTAAGCTGGGGCCACTCAGCTGTGATTGGCATGCTCTAATACCTAATGATCAGAGAGCATCCGTTTCTCAGAAGCTTACAGTGTGCAGAGTTACCTGTAGGCCTGGGTGGTCCCTCTCCCTCAGTGGGAATGTTGGCCCTGGATTCACTCAGCACAAACCTCACAGTCATCTGCCAAAACATATTACTGGCATGTCCCACCAGGCTGGTGGCTCTTCATATCCAGTCCACGACTCTGAGGATGGTCTTCAGCTTCTCGCCTGTCTCTTTATTTCTGGTCTCCATCTACCTTGTTCCTTTCCATGAACCTGGACTGCACCTTGACAAACATAGGGAAGCTCCTGGTATTCTGTTAGGTCTCAGCCTGCTCTGCCAGCTTCCCCTGCAGCACAATGTACAGGCCATAAGTTCTGGGAGACCCAACGTCTATGTGTAGGTAACAGCAACTCTCAGTTTCTCCAAGAATGGTATAGAGTACACATGGAGGGCTCTGAATCAGGTCACTCTGCCAGTGTGACCCTGAATCTCTTGTGCTTGGGTTGCTGTAGCGCAGGACAAACTTGCTTGGCCTCACTGTCACAGGACCTGGAGGTTGAGATGGAGGTGCTGTAACATCACAGTTGGTTTCTACTGTGGTTTCCCTCTTTGTCTTGTGTATGGCATCTCTCCTTCTGGTTCATATGGTTTTCTGTTTGCATCTGTGACCTGGTCCCCTTGTTATACAGAAATCAGATCTGTTGTGTTAGAACACACCCTAATGTCCTCATTTTAACTAAACCTTTTCTAAGATCCTATATCGAATTACAGTCTCATTGCAAAGTGCTTGGAATTGGATTTTTAACATAGGATCTTTGGAGAACACAGTTTAGTCCCTAACACCTGCTGTGTGGTTATGGGTGAGTACACTACCCTTTCTGTGCTTTAGTGGCTTTCATTGCCACATAGGAACAATGTTTTTAAAAGGTTATTGGAAAGTTTTAATTGGAGGACAGAGTTGTGGGCTTTGAACATTTGTTTTTTTGTGTGTGTGTGTATAATTCTTAAAATACTTTTTCCCTGTAACCTTGGTCTTTTATTTTCTGTGTTGTTGACACGTCAATGTTTTCATTACATATGCAAATTGTTTCAAAGGAGGCACTTTCCAGAGCACTGCAGAACTAGATACCTTAAAACGATATGACTTCGTCACGCCCTTTTGTATTCTGCGGTTTGATCACCATCCCCAGTTATTGTAAGCATATCATGAGGTGGGGGGAGGGGCAGCCTCCGCTGTTAGGAATGTCATTCTGTCCTCTCCTTCTCCGTTCTCTTCATCCACTTTTCCCACAGAATTTTATCCTAACTTCACACAGCTGCTGCATCGAGCGACAATTGTGCTTACCTGCATGCATGTGTACGTGCACACAAATTCAAGTCCGTTACTTTTCCATTCCCCTGTCTCTGTGTCTAGGTGTTAAAATAGAGTTATAACATCAAATCTTCAAGATGTCACAATTAACAGCATTTTGAAAGATTACTATAGAATGAACAATAACCCAGAGAGATCATTTATTTAGATTAAATAATTAATAAGCATAAAGTAAATTTTTTCGGAAGTGTAGGTCTATTGATATAGACTTTTGCTTTTACACTATATATCTTTACATATAGATGAGAAGAGGAGAACGCAGACTTTGCTTATCGTTCCCCATCAACCCCGTTTCTGTTTTGTTAATAAATGTGAGCTTGGGAATTTCATCTTCAATACAAAAGAAGGCAGGAACAGATAGAGTTTTCATATATTATCCAATACCATGCACAACTTTTGAATTATATATGTTAAGAGTTAAATAATGATCTATCATCAAAGATGTGGTTGAATATGTTGCCATTTGACATCTGAATTAGGTCATTATCCAATCCTTATTGGAAGCAAAATGTTGGAATTTTATCCTCACGACTTTTACCTCTTAAGCCGTGAGCCATTGGAAGTCTCAGTGGACACTAATGCATCATGTCAGCTCCCGTGTGCTGCTCCCTAAATCAAGTCTCTATGGTAGACTTGATGGGTAGATAGCATGCCTTGGCTCTGTGAAGTACAAAAGGTGGTTTTAGAAGAAAATCATGCTATCAGAGAAGGAAAGGCATATATATAGTCAGATGTTGCGGGAAATATTAAAATTGAACCCACACTGTTGTTGACACAGCACCAGCGGGCTGGCTGGCAATGCACTGACGGGCAATAGCAAACCTGTTCTCATCTCCAGGTTCACAAGAAGTCACTTGAGTACAGGATTCACTCCTTAACTGCATTCCCTCCTGGGAAAGTGGAATTAGCATCAAAATACAAGCAACACCAGGGCTATCCGCAACACTTCCTCCTTTCTGTCCACTTGAGACTCCTTATCTCTCCTGTCAGATTCGCCATCTATACTGGAAGACACTAGTAGCTACATCTTGTCCTCTTGCTATCCCAGTCCAAAAGCTCCTATCCCTAGCCTGCCTCCTCTCTTCTCTCCTCCAACCTGGAAGTCCTGCCTACTCACCCAGTGATTGATTCCTTTATTCATTAATGGATGGTTCACAAGAAGTTACCTGTGATTCACTCCTTGTCTGCAGCCCCTCCTGGGAAAGCAGAATTAGTATCAAAATACAAGCAACACCAGGGCTATCCACAACAGTCAGATCACAGGCACATTGCAAGAGAACCCAGAAATTGATTCCTGTAACCTGTTCTAAGAACACCCTAGGATATACATACCAAATACTAAAGTCTATTGACCCATATGAAGTTTACAATACTGTCATAAATATGAACTGTTTCGTATATATTATGGTTGCTACTGTTTTATCCATAGACTATCTAGCCCACAGTAGGTATTCAACAAGTAGAATGAATAAAGGGTTTAGATATTAGCATAGAGCTTGTTTATATGTCCTTTTAGCTTTCCAATGCTGACAATCCTGACTTTGCACTGGGTGACTGTGTGACAGATAACCCAAACCACAAGCACACAAAGCAACTGTTTTATCTGCTCACTGTCCACAGGTCAGCAGTTGGGACTGAGCTCAGCAGAGCAATTCTGCTGCTGCTCTCAGCTAGAGTCAGCTAGTCATGCAGCTGCAGTCAGATGGTGGATCAGTTGAGGCTGGTTGTTCTGGGACCTCAGACACAATGCTTACTGCCTTCTCTGTGGGGACTTGTCTTCCAGGGGGCCCACAGAATAATTGACAGCAGAGGAGTCGCCTGTCACAAGCCTAACATAGCTCTTTTTATGCCTCTGCTTGTGGCACATTGGCTAGTGTTTCTTGGATACGAGGAAGTCCTGTGGCCAAAGTCTAGTTAGCATGAGGTAGGAGGTGTCATACGTAGGTGTGAACAGATGCAAGAAGGTGGGATTCGCTGGAAGTGGCTATATAAACATTTAGGACAAAACTCAAGATTTCCCTGGCTGTTTTAGCTCTCCTCTGCTGAGGTGACCTTAACTTCAAGTCTTAGATTAGATACATTCTAATTAGGATTAGGTGTTCATGTATTCTAATTTTTCAACTATAGATAGAACTTTGCCTCAAGGAGAACCATTGTGGAAAGATACCTTGTTCCAAGACTGTTTTCTTAAGGATCTATTCTTATTGTTTAATGTTTGTTTGAAACAGAGTCACAATATAAAGCCCAAAGCTAGTCTTGCTCTTGAGATCCCACTGCCTCAGCCCTCCAAGTTTTGAACCACCACATCTGATTAAGAAGCTCTTTTGAGACCATAAAGAGTATTAATCAGAGAATGCAAGTCTGTTTTACAATGAGCAGACTCTAAGGAGAGATAGCCTGTCCCATATGGTTCCAAAGGCTGGTCTCATGACTCAGGTGGTGCTCACACATTGGGGGACCTCACCACTTCAGGACTCTTTAGGGTAGAATGCAACTCAATTTGTCTTGGCCAAAGATGAATATTATGTTGGCTGGGCATGTGGCTTCATATGTGGTACAGTCCATAACTGAAATAATATCAAATCAGTGGGGTGCCTTCTGACATCTTTGCCAGGATCCCTCCCCCCCCAAAAAAATCTTGTAGTTCAGAAGTCTTGAGAGTTGGTTGGTGCCGCCTCAATACCTGAGCAAGATTTGCATCCCTGACTTTCAGGTAGTGTCAAACTAGCCTATATTTACCAACAATTATTCTTTTTCCTTTCACAGTGAGACATTATTTGGTGAAATGCCCTCAGAACAGGTAAGAATATTTTCTTTGTTGTTTCAAATAAAACGTTTTGATAGTTTATGTTCTTTGCCTACTACCAATACATTGATTAAATACCTATTCTTACTAGGTGTTGGTCACAAAGAAGCCAAACAATGTATGTTCTGTGTACGTTTCCATGTGTGAAAAGTCCTCATACCATTCATGATCTCCACAAGGTCCAGATAGCATGCTGCTCATGTTGGTCCAACCTGTTTCTTTTTAGGAGCTTGAAAAGTGTCCTGTGGAGCCATGTGGGAACTTAGATGACTGATCTGAGCCACCTCTATTCATTTGCACCACTAACACTTCTAATTTTTTTTCCATGAGTGCTGACTTGACCCGTGCTCTACTTTACCTGGTTGACAGGCTTCATTGGGAAAATAGTGGTTTTAAGATATTCAAATTCATTGAAATTCTTTGAAAGCAAATGGTAAATAAAATCACCACCCAACAAAAAGAAGTTCTTTCCAAAAGTGGAAAGTAGGCCAACAAACCACCGTCACACACGTATATTATAATTCCAAAGTAACTAGTACAATAACGTTATCCCCAACACTAAAAAATAGCTATACAAAAATCAATATAATCCTTTAAATATATTCAGGTCACATAAAGAAATAGAACAAGAATCATAGGAAATGAGAAGAGAATAAATAACAAAATACTTTCATACCACTTATCTTAAACTGGTCTAAATATATCATTTGAATCACATAGACGATATGTGTCCCAACTGTATTTAATAGAAACTCACTTCATAAAAATGGCATAGGTAGGATGAAAGCAAGTGGATGCAAGAAGAGATGCCACACAGTAGACAGTCTGCGCATATATCATATATCTCTTAAAGTAGAACACAAAGAAAAATGCTTTCTAGGGATTGGATGGGATATTAGATGATAAAATGAGCCACTCCATGGGAAAACAATGGTCCTAAATTGTATATGCATCAAACAACAGAGACACAGAACTCAAACAGCCAAATCTGAAGAGCTTAGGGAAGTTGGAAAAATCCATGGTGATTTTTAGCAACCCTTAGGCTTGGCTTAGGTCCTCAACCTACAAAGTCACTGAAGACATGAATAATACAGTCAACCAACTGGACACAGTTGGTCCATCTCAAACAACCAGCCTATGGAAGAATACTTTCTTTTTTTCATGGCCCCATAAAATATTCACCAAGATATACAGGCTATGAGACAAACTTCAACAAATTTGTTTTTAAAATGGAGACATACAGTATAATGTTTGACTACAGTGAATCAAAATTGAAAGCTACAGAGAAATAACAGTAGGACAATCTCTAACCATGAACAAAATGGGGCACTGTTCATTTTGTTTAAAGCTATAAGCAGAGTCTCGACAACAAGGGACCAGTGCAAACAGGTACAGCAGTCAGGTGAGCATATGCAGTACACAGGTCACAGGATACATGGGATGCAGGGGAATCCTCTATGTGTGATCTGACATGTTGAACTCTGACAGGGTCCAGATCAATTCTAAATAGAAGACATATACTTTTTATCAAGTGGTGTGTGTTTCGTAGACAATCACAGGCAGAAACGTGAACTGAGGCATCTTTTCTCACAGCATCGGTATCAACTTAATTAAATTTAATTACATCATCAAGATAATTAAAGAGTTTTGGTCTAGATATAATAGCTAAAACTGCAAAATTTCTCAAAGAAAACAAGAGAAAATGCTTGTGTCCTTGGATTGGGTAAGTGACACTGTGCAAAGTTCATAAATGATAAAAATTTAGAAGCATTGTACTTCTAAAGACATAATTATAAAGATGAAAAGATAAGCCACCAAATAAGAGGACATGTTTGCACATCCAATAAGTGATGAGCAACACGTTTTCAGATACAGAGTTCTTCCAACTAGATGATAAGATGACAAATGGCACAGTTAAAACAGGCAAGAGTGATCTGAACAGGTATCTCCCTAAAGATGTACCAGCAGCTCATAAGGATGTGGAAACATGCCCAATATCTTTAGTCATTAATTAGAGAGATGCAAATTAAATAACAATGTAATTCCAGCAAACCCCAACCATAATGCCCACAATCCAAGAGACAGAGGATGCCAAGTGTTGGCATGGCTATGCAGAAACTGCATCATGTACACTGCTCACTGGAACAGCCACTGGGGAACATAGTTTGGTAGTTTCTGAAGGTGTGATTCTTAGTATGACCTGCAGACTGTACTCGTAAGGATCTACCCAAGTGTATACCTACACAAAGATCTGGGTGGAATTATTCACAACTGCTCTATTCATAATAACCAGAAATTGGAGAAGATCCAAATGCATTCATCAGCTGGCGAGAGAGTAAACAAAACAGAGCAGATCCCATCCGATAAACTTCCAGTTGGCCACAAATCAGACCAGAAACAGACCATTCTCAAAACACCACAAAGTGAAAGAAACCAGGTGCAAAATTTACAACTGTGTGCTATTTTAATAAAATGCTTAGAAAAGGGAGATTTATGGAGACAGAAAATAGAGTAATGGCTGCTTATAGATGAGATTGAGCATGGGGATTAATTGTGGCTGTGATTAATGTGATGTGGACTAAGTCTAGAACTTTGGGGCCTGTGAGTGCAGTGTCCTAAAAATGTATTGTACTGATGGTTGCACGACTTTGTAGGTTTATAAAACTGCACGAGACTATTTATTATGAGCTACAATTTGTACTGGCCATTACTTATGCTTCAACAAAGCTGCTTGTTTCTTTCGTAAAAACCATGCCCCCTCATGTTCCTGGACTAGAGTGAAGCAGATGTGTCATTTGGAGGGAGGGTTATAGTGGGAGCAGTCATGACTGCAGAAGGCCAGCCTATCGGCCTCTCCTCATCCTGGTATACCTGGCTCTGCTTCATGGAGAACTTGCAACTCCTCCTGTCTTGGGTCCTCCACCCTACTCCTCCTCACCCTCCATACAGCAGTCACATTCAAAGCTGGTGACTACAGGGTCAAGAAGTACAGCAAGGATGTCATCCTTGCATGGTGGACTGGAGTTTGGTCTTCCTTAGCCCTGGAATATACAAGTGTGTTAGTCATGTTTCCATTGCTGTGACACAATACTTGAGAAAGTCAACTTAAGATGGGGAAGGGTTCATTTTTGCTTTGGGGTCTGTGGCAAGGCAGCACATCATGGCAGGAGACTATGGAAGAGCACACCTTCTCATCCCATGGTGGCAATGATGCAAAGAGAGCAGGGAAGAGTAGAGGGACTCTTAGTTTATCTGTTGGGTTTGCTTTAATAAAGTAATCAACAAAAGCAACTTAGAGGAGAAAGTGTTACTTTGGTTTACAGTCTAGAGAGGACACAGTCCTCCTGGGGGAAAGTATGGTAGCAGAGGCATGAGGCCAGTCTGTCACATTGGACCAGCAATCCAAAGGCAGAGAGAGGAGAGAAAGTTAAACCTCAAAGCCTGCCCCCAGTGATATATATACATTCTCCAGCAAGGCCTCACCTCCAAAAGTTTCCATAACCTTCTTTAGCAGAGCCAAAAAACTGGAGACAAAATGTTCAAACTTACAGGCTCTAAAGGACATTTCACATTTAAGCCATGATAGGATCTCAATGTCTTCTTTATGGGTGTGTCCCCAATGACCTAATTTCTTCCCAATTAGACTCTGCCTCTCAAAGGTTTCACCACATCTTGATGGTACCATAGACTGTTGACCAAGATTTAATTCATGACCTCCAGAGGACTCTTAAGATCTAAACTATAACCCAGAGGTCAGAGTCATTGTTTTAGGGTTTCTATTGCTGTGAATAGACACCATGACCATAGCAAGTCCTATAAAGAAAACATTTAATTGGGGCTGGCTTACAGTTCAGAGGTTTAGTCCATTATCATCAAGACAAGAAGCGTGGTGGCAAGCATGGGAGCATGCAAGCAGAGGTGATGTTGGAGAGGCAGCTGAGAGGTCTATATCTTGATCCATAGTTAGCAGGAAGGAATCAAGACACACTGCGCTTAGCTTGAGCATCTGAAACCTCAAAGCTTACCCCTAGTGACACACTTCCTACAAAAAAGCCACACCTATCCCAACACAGCCACACCTCTCAATAGTGCCAATCTCTATAAGCCCATGGCACCACTTTCATTCAAACTACCACAGTCATAGAATTCTACCCAAATGTTATTTCTGCCTCTATGACAGCCACACTGGGAGCTTCCAGTGATGTAGTGGATGACAAGCCCAAAGTGTCCGCCATGGAATGCTTTCTGCTGAATCAACTACAATTATGTGTTTGTAAAAAAGTTTTCCTTCTTCAACCTGAAACTATGGTGGGGCCAAAGCCTTACCACCCACCTTACCACCCATCCTCCTGATCAGAGCCTAAGGTGACCTTATGTGGTTCTGATTCACTCCTGCAGTGCCTGGCTGGAGAACAACTCAGTTCCTTCCTTCACCTTGGCTTTGAGATGACTGTGTCCTGGGCCCAGGTACTTAAGCCCATCCTTTTCATGACAAAGAGCAGAGTCTTGATGCCCTCTTTGGTTGCTACTATGGTAACTGGGCTCTGAGTCTCAAGCTGGGGCATGATCAATGTCCTTTTTGTCCTCTGATCACTCCCTTCCAAAGGGAAAATGGCAGAAATCACCGGACCAGGGCCATGAGCCAGGAGAGGAAACCCTTAGGCAGGGAGGGACTCTCAGAAAAGGGCCACATGCTGGTGCTGAGGAAAATGTGGTCATAGGGAAAGGGGCCTTGCCAAGTGACCGGGGCAAGATAGAGGCTCTAGGCTGTTTCATGACTTGCTAAGAGAAGTTCAAAGAAAAAAAGTAAAGTTTATTATCATGACTGTGTCCTGCCCTGAGGCAAGAAGCTGCCGTGGTCTGAGAGGTATGGTGCTGGCCTTTGAGACTGACAGATTCTTCCTTTCTCCTGACAGAATGTCCTTAGGAAGCAGATGTCCCAGAACAAAGCAAGCATTTCAAAATTCTGTGGAGTTTTTAACATGTCTTCCCTT